CAATCACCTAAATCATCTGTATCCATCCAATCCTCTCATTACCAGTCCTCAGAGTAACCCGCGTGGCGCAGTGGTTAGAGCGTCAGTTCTAGACTGGCGAAGGAATTGATACTTTCGTCGCGGGTTCGAATCCCACCTTAGGACGTGGACACCGTTTCTTTCGGATGAGACCGTATAAACCATGGTCCCGTGTCGAAGTAGGTGCTGGCACGAAAGAGATTCCTCCCTGTTCAATAGCCCTGAGTGCCGAGTATAGGAAAACATTAAAAGCTCTCAACCGGCAAGTGGTGGCGTCTCTATATGAGTGAAAAATTCTCGAGAGGGACGTCAAACAACATAAAACCAATCACTCAATCAATCCAGTGCTAGGGATTCATGGAAAACTCCAGATTTTATAAATGTACATATAACTTCAAACAGTAACTCGATCTTTTAAAAAGTGTATACAAACAACACAACTGCTTGGCCTATGCATTAGTTTTTACCTCCCCTCGCTTTCTATCACTTTCGTTACTATGGTTGTATAACTGGAAGGCAAATTGTAACAAAAAAATGCAACAGAATTTTATACGCACAGTTGTTCTGATTTTAAAATAAAATTATAAGGAATGACTCTAATTCTTGGCCTTATTATTCGAGTACATCCTGGTTTGGGTCTTTTTATGCTGTTTTATAATTCGCTTCGCTGACTATTACATTCTCTGTAATAACAATGGAGGAGTGACAAACAAAGTAGCATATATCTCCGAGCTACATATAATTTAAAAAAGTGCTACTATAAATAATTATATATCAGATTCTAAGAGGCGGCTTCGGGTGACAACCCTACTCAGACGTGATAATTGCTGATGTCTTCCTTCTAAACAGTCCACAATTGTATAATATATTTCAAAGGAAATTATTTTAATAATAACTTCATGTATGCAGTTCGACATCTTTGCAGATATACAGGTGATTGGATAAGTCTAATAAACGCTTCAAGCATTTCGAGCTTACGAATGAAAGTAAACGTTTCCACAAGAACGGATACAGGAAGGATTAACCAATCTCCTGTTTCAGTGATGGCTTCATCTGTTAAAATTCGCAGCTCGTGTGGCCTTGCATACATAGAAATACCAGGTATTTGAAATTACGATACTTCATTATCATTTCATTTCAGACCCAAACACTCAAAATAAAGGTAGATAATTTTAAATGATGCATATCAAATTCATAGATTTAGATTGCATATTCGCTTGTTTCATTTTGCAGATTTTTTTAAATGTTTTTACACATACATGTAGCTACAAAATCAATTTTAAACTACATTTCAACTTAAGTCATAATATGCAGGATTTATAGCCTAAAACATATTTGTATATGATGGATAAAGTTACTGAACTGAATATGTAAAATATGCTTATTAATAATTCACACAAAATTGGGGTTAGACTCAATTTTATAGTAAGAACTATCTAAGCTTAAAAATGTAGGAAATTCTCAAAATAAAGTGAATTTGGCCACTATCTGTGTATTTTTTCATTAAAAATGTACCATAAGCAGACTGTTTGCTTTTTACTATTTCGAGGGTTGTTCGAAAAAAGTTAGTGGACATCTGTCATATGTTTTTTTTTTTTTTGTTTTTTTTTTGACGCCATAATGTTATCCAAATTTGGTAGAAATGTTTTAACAATAAATTCAAATATTTTGTATTATTTCCTTTATTATCAAAACTAATCCAGATTTTTAAAAATGCAAAAATCGGATCGCTGAGCAGGTCAATACACTGAATAATGTCTGTAATCATATTCTCTGTAAATTGGAGCAAAAACGAGAAAAATAGCCTAGAAATTCAAATTAGGAATTGTTACATCGATTCGTACTCTAAATTATGGCTTATTATTTTGCTTCATTGTAAATAAACCAGCATGAGAAGATAAGTAGTTCATTGAAAATGACAAACATGACGACATTTTAGAACGTCACGGAGCAGCAGATAATGATGAACATCCTGAATAAACTCTAAAAATGTCAAAGGAATGCAAAATTTATGTCACAGGCGAGTTGTGCATGTGTGTACAAATAGTTAAGGCATATTTGAGTGACAGAGAATTTGTATCTGATGAGGACAATGCTGTGAAGAAACGACTTAAAGCGCTTCAGAGCTGCATCCTTTAAAATCAGAGTTAAGTAATTTAAAAAGTTAAAACCTTAACAAAAGAATAAAAGAGGAGATTAATATTTAACAAATAAATGCTAAGTATTTGAAAAAAAGGTTTTTGATGAGTAGGGTTTGGTATATTCTATGTGAAATGTAAAGGGGTAGTATTGTTTTTTAATTCTTGACGCTATATGTTTTGACGTTACTTTGCCGTTAAATGTGCTTCGCGGGTACAAAACATGTTGATTTTCAAATAAATTGATTTCTGTTAAATCGAATGGAATGAAACTTCACACATCAACAAAACAATCTTTTTACATATTATTTTATGCTTATTTTATTTTTCTAGAGAGTAATATACGAGGCTGTTTAATAAATAATGTCATCGTTGCTCGGAAAGAAACAAAAAAACGCTTTTCTATGATTTAGTTTTAATGGTTTAGGAGAGAGTAATAAAATATTCTCTTTGAATTAAAACACATGTCTGTAACATTTTTATTCAATTTCTAATTGTTTTTAGAACACATTTTGAGTATGCCCCTTCGTATACTGTCCCCAGAATATGGCAGATCTTATGATTTACTGTACTTTTTTTTCCTTTCTGAAAGGTGTGTTTTTCAAGGGTGGGGAATTAAACAGGTCAGAGGTTGAAATTCCTCGCAAATATTGTTGGTGTGACAAAACATTAACTTTCTCTTTATCCCCAAAACTCCTTTACTCTTCACTGTCTGATTTTAAGGTTTTCGTTCCCACAGAGATAGGCCATGAGCTTAAGATGCCTAACATGCATGAAAATCTCGTGAAGCTTTCTTTTTGTTTGACGTCAGTGGACAGGCTTCGTGTAATTTAAATCTATTAGTCTGCATTTTTAAAATGAAATTTACAATTTAATTTCACAATGAAATGAAAACATAAGGAATCACTGTCTAGTTATATAAGTATGGCAGGTGAAATAAACTATAATTGGAAATGTGGTATAATTTATGCATAACGGACTTCAACTGTTATGCAAATTATCCCACGTTTCAAACATACTACTATTCCCCATATGATTAGTTGTATTACTATACCCATTGTTTTGGCAAGGTATTGCATGCATCTTTAATATCTAAAAAACATGTTTGTTTGTTTTTCAAGTTGCGGATTTTGATGGAGACTATGTGCGTTGCCGGTTTCCTATTAAGACAGAAGAATGTGGTGATATATGTAACTCAACTAGCACCTATTTCTCATTTATAGGGGTGAGAAGGTTAATATGTCAATTTAAAAGTACACGTTTCTATTTTTTACAAATAGTGAGAGTTAGTAGATTAAATATGAAAAATAAATATGAAAAAAATCTCTGATGAATGTAAGCATGAGTATGCCTATTCGTCGTAAATTTGTTTGTTTTTTTGTTCGTAGTTCAGAAATTCCTTACATACAAATAAATTGAAATTTACATCTCACTATCCGTTTTCCTCCAGAAAATCTTATCATTGAAAATCGACACCTTAAAACTAACAGGATGACGTATATTCGTGTAATATTATATAAATGTTCATTGAAACCAACATTATTGTTGCACCGGTGTTCGATGGTAAATTTATCAATTTGGACTACGTACAAAAAACGGGAAACATGGTTTCTACCACCTGCTGTAACGGGGAAACAGATGTCAAGCTGAAAAGACCATTAAACTATACAAATTTTAAAGCACAGCAAACAAGGACCTTAGAGGTGGAATCAGGTGCCTTAGAGGAGTAAGCATCCATGGCCGACCGGTAATATATTAAAAAGATTTAGACGCTTTAGACGTTTATCTAAATATATGCGGGGCTAGCTAGAAGGGTTAATGGTCTTGTGAGCCCGTTTTCTTTTTGTTCTTTTTTAAAATTCGAATAGTCTTATTAAAAGAGAACTCAGAGGTTTTCACATCTTTTGATTGATCCTCAGTAAAGTTCTATCCATCCGAGTTTTATGACAATAAGAAAACAAAAACACGATAAGAGAAAATTTGAAATGCGAAGGTTACTGAGGCGACTGAAAAAAAATACTTAAAATCGATTGAAAGACGACGGAAAGGTCAATAAAAGATAGCTGAAATGTGTCTGATGAATAGTGACTGTAAGTTACATGAACTGTGGCTGAAGGTAGCTGAAAGATCGCTTAAATCAGTGTATGAATGGCCACTGAAATGTCACCGAAAGCCACCTTTAATTTAGTTTTAACTGAAAGGTCGTATTCTTTCTGTTGGTGAGAGGTGTCATAGAGTTGTGAGTATTTCCTGCCGACCGGACCTTGTTATAAACGGGGAAAATGGAGGATCCATAGAAAATTCAGTTTGTAAATGATAGCCTAACAATTTGTATAAAACATGTTTATCAAATACTTTGTCAATAGCTTGCATTCTTTTAGAAAATGGTCATACAGCATGCTATTGTGTGTCTATCGAGAGACATAAACGTTGACGATTAATAAGTTAAAATCAGCATGTTTATCTTTAAGTTTTGCTGTTTGCTTATTATTAACCTTTTTTATTCTATTAAAACAAAGGTGTCAGTAATTTAGAGATAAAATACGTTTTGTGCTATATATATATTTTCATGCGAAATGCTTTCATAAAGAAACATACAAGTCATGATATACTGAAAATTTGAGAAAATACTAACTTCAAATCGGTGTCCATGCACCTTTAAATCTATGTCAAATGAATCTGGAGTTCTAGCTCTATGTTTGTCTTTGCTGCTTCTACCTATATAAAATTATGTTCAATTGACTATCATTCCTTAATGCCTTAAAGTTTCCTTTCCATACTTAATCAAAGAATTACATGTTACATTTTATTTCTAATTAATTTCACAGACATCCTGCTCTTTGACAACTTCATTGATGCCTGATGGAGTCTATGTTGTAGCAGTACAGATAGAGGATTTCAAGAGTTCATCATCATCAACTGCCCTAAGTAGCATCCCTTTGCAGTTCATTGTTACAGTAAATTCTAGTGGATCATGTTACAGCTATCCAGATTTCAAGTCCAATACTTATCTAGATGGAACTGTAGTACAATTTTTCAATGACTTACTACTGCAAATTAAGGCAACAGTCAAAGTTTATGAAGGACATGAAATGTAAGTTTATATATATATAATCAAATATATACATTATATTCCTATATGTGCGTATTGTATTTATCCAGAACACATCGGCCAAATCGTACCTCATCTTCCAAGTTTGATTGAGATAAAATCATTTTTTGTCGAATTTCAGGTTAAACTGCATAATTGGGAGCTGCGTGATAATAACTATATTTATAGTTTGTAGTTGGATATGGAATTTAATTTAGGAGTGATACGAGTTAACAAGCAAGACCTTTGTCACACTTTTGATATTTTCGCACTTAAACCAAAACTCACTTTCTTTCTATCGACTTTTTTTTTGGAAAATGGAAAATATGCAGTATTTGATATTTTCTATGTTATGTCTTTACTGTAATTATCTAAATGATAGAAACTTCACTGACGGTGAAATGAGTGCAAAGAATAATGCTTCGCGTAATTCTTGCGCAACAATTAAATCTGAAGAACCCAGTCTGTTCTTCCGAAAACTCAAAAAATGCTACTATAATAAATACAGTTCGCGAGGAGATTAGCATAAAAAAGTATCCTTTATGAAAGCTCTACCTAACAATGTATTCAAAAGATATAATCATGTAAAACTAATCTTTACAAGTCATAAAATATCGATCATAGAACTTACTAAAGTTTACTTCGTTTAAGAAATTGTTCATATGTAGAGCATCTTCATGCGTATCGAATCAATAGGAAATATATAAACTCCGTATGCAGTGACGAAGGTATTGAAAGATTTTTTCAAAAGTCAGAGAAGTGAACGATAGAAAAGTTAAAGTCACCACGTTTATCATAGAGCTTAGTTTTTTGTTTACCATTAACGTCTTTTTCAAGAAAAATGTACAATTATAAAACAGATGTGTCAGACTCTTTTATCTCAAGCTCACCAGTACATATCGTATCGACATAGGAATGGAAATCACCATTGTTATTTGACAATACGTCGTCGATATATATAAATGTCGAGTTAAAGGCCACAGCAACTGATTTCTTCTTTTCATGCATAAAATTTTGCACAAATTCTGCTTTATGTGAATACAAAAATAGGTCTGATAATAACAGAGCGCAATTGGTACCCATGGGAATTCCAATAGACAAAATACATAGATACTGTCAATCAAAAAGTCAAGCATCTTTTTGATGTCAACTTTTTTTATGTATATTTGTAGAAAATGTCTATAGTCTTGAACTTGAAATATGGTGGAATATAACACTGAACCCTTTTGTAATTATAAATATTACTTATATTAACCGCTTGAATCCCTTTATTGGCACATCGAAGTTTAAGGAAAAGACGGACTGTTTTAGCTGAAATTTCCTCAGTAAAACGTGAGGTTTAAAAAAAGCTTATGATTTGCAATGTCCATAATCACAGATCTGAGCCTATATTATGGTGTCGAGGAATTAAAAAAATGGGATTTTCTTGACTTTCTCAAGAAGACTAATTTAAAGTTTCAAAGGGACAGAGTAAAATTTGCTGCAAATATGATTAGAGTAAATCTAACTGTTCATTTACGTAAGGTAGTAATGAATCCAAAGAGACATCGTGTATTTAAGGTTTTTGTAAGACCGACGTCCATGACTACGCTTACGTCTCTTCGTATGATTAAAAAGTCCAATCACATTTATATTGTTACACTGTGGACGGAAAGATTCCCAACACTATCGATATTATCATTACATCCATATAGGGAAAGGTTGTCCAAAGTTTTTTAATCCAGAATTCTTCTCGTTGTCTACGGAAAGGTGTAATCAGTGAAGGGCTATTTGCGAAGTGATAAATATTTTTGAGAATTCTAATTTTCATTGACAAAATAAGAATGATCAGGTATATTAAAATGCTTTTATAAAAGATTCTGACCCCTATGATTTATTTGAAATCGATTACATGATATTCTTCTCTTAAGTGATCTCTTAGTTTCACCAACATAAGTAAGTCCACACAGATTGCATTCTTTTCCGTATATAGACAACATTAGAATATTTGCAGTTCAGAAGTTTTGGTATAGAAGCTCTGTCCAGGAAAACGCTTACTGGTGAAAGAAACGTTAGTTATCAAAATGTCACAGGCTTTACAGGTTTTTTTCACAGAACATTTTGAAATAGAAGACATAGGATCAGAAAAGGAATTATCAAATATGTCTGTTATTGAAACTTTACAATTCTTAAAAATTTTTAGGATGCATTGGTTTCATACCAAAACTAGGAATCTGAAGACTGTACAAATGACATATGTTTAATATCCCTGAGGATTATCCGAGGGGCACCAAATGATCTCCTTGAGTCTGTGTCCCTTCTGTAAAGTTCTAAATGGACAATTTTGCCTTGTCTATATTTCACTTCACTTTTAACTGCACTTTACTTAAATCAATAATAGCATTTTGTCAATTATATTACCAATTTGATGCTGATTTTATGAACAAAACAATGTTGATTTTATTTTTCGTTTAAATATGAGTACTTTTTTTGCAGCATTACTAAATTTCATGTTTTATCGCCACTTAATTTTACGATGTCTACCATCTCTAACCCTATTGCTAACGAATATGAAACCACTATTTCCCTGACGGAATCTTCAGAAGATGAAATCGGACAGTACAACTTGTGTTTCTCAGCAGAATCAAATTATCGGTAAAATCAATCTATTTCTGGCTTAAATTACAGCATATGTTTGTTTGTTTTGTTATGTGATATATAAAGAAATTTTTAAAGAGTAATATTCAGTGTCTTCCACATATTTCTTTTTCATTACACAAGAAAATACTTTTGAATGAAGAACTTTGAAAAAATAATTTTGAAAAAGTACAAATATTCGTGGTGAGGGGGGGTTCAATTTCGTATATTTCGTTGTTGAAATTATCACCAAATTAAATCCCAAAACAAATCATTTAAGGATAATGAATTATTTTCAAAACAACAAATTTGAATGCCCTTGAACTCTATCCCAACGAATATCTGTGCTTCTACCGCATCTATATGTTTTTTCAGACGTTCCACCAAACTCCGATGCATATCGGTTAATATGACAGGTGAGTCTAATATTTAGTTCATATAAATTTAAGTCACAGGCAACTGATATTTTATTCCCGTTAGGAACAACGCGCTAGCACGAAATGACAATGCGCTAGTGCGTTGTTCACAACACACTACAATGCTAACACACACCATATGTAACTCACATTGAGTTCAGTATACTTGCAAAGTTTATGGAAAATCTACTGTATAGGTATGTTTAGGGACCATCTCAACACAGATCTAATTGACTTTCTCGGTTTTTTTCTCAATGATTGGCCTAATCTGACGATCATTCCTTAAATTCTTGTCTTAAAATACTAGTGCATTTTCAATTGGGATATGTGGGAAAATGCCAATTCATCACTCGCCAAAGCAATTCATACAAAAACTACAATAAATAAACTTTTTGCTCAAATCATAATATATGATGATTGTTATATTTTGCATTATATTTAGAAAAAATAAAACCCCTGAAATTTAAGCGTCTGATAACAGTTTATCCTAACGTCGCAAACACACTTTTACTACGTCAATCAACCTATCGTTGCAGAATTGCTTTTGAAATATCCGACCCATAAAAGCCTCAGATTCAATGAATCTGAATGCATATATATATACATAATTGAACGAATTAATTATGAATATATAATCATAATTAATTCGTTCAATTATGTAAATCGCACTTCACCCGAGTATTCCCGATAGACCGGACGCATTTCATAGCGGTCCGGATTTCTTTCTTTATTAGTGTTCTTAAAAATTTCCAATTCAACATGTAACTACGTATGTAGATATCTAGTGTTTAGTAGTTTAGTAGTAGTGCTAGTTGTTTTTGTTTCTCTTTTTCCTTTGTTCTTATGACTTTTTAAAGCCATATATGGCGTAACTGATCAAAAAAATATATTTTTGAAAAATACAAAATTAAGTAAAGAAATACAGTTAATACATTTAAATTAAAGCTTTTCATACAATTCTGAACACGGAGAACACCTCCTTTCATCTAATAATACGATTTTATCTTCTCTGTAATGTGTTATTTAAATCTTTTGTATTTTGTTCCGAGTCGGAGAAAATTCCGAGAAACCAAATTAAATTGTGATATCTTTATAACGCAATTGACTTAGATTTTGTAATTTACGGAAAAGTTCTATCTTTATATAAAGTAATGATACAAATAATAAGTTCCTATAATTTTAGTCTAATAATTTTCATTGTACATACACCATATATGGCTTTAACTTTTTTCTTTGTCCTGAAAATTTGACAATTTTTATTGTTCGTGTCGTTGGTCATTTTTAGTGCTTTATATAAATTTCCATCCGTGATCTTGTATCTACCTGGTAGGATCCGACATTTAGGATATACAGTGTTGTTGGTTTTTTTTTAGTGCTTTATATATATATATATATATATATATATATATATATATATAGTTTTGTGACAGGCGGATTGTGGGTTATTTAGCGTCTTTTACACTCACGTTGTGGGTATCATGGATGGTTTGTGGGTCATTATATATTGACCCTCAAACCACCGCCTCAAAAACTTGTGTATTGCTATAATATAAACCATATTTTCATATTTTACAAAAAAAAATATTTTGACCCATAATTACATTAATCAAAAATGACCCACAATGCAATTTTATATACATCAATTCTTACCACTCAGTGGATTGGATGAATTTTGTGTGTGACCCACAATATTCTATATACTTTCCCACTATTCACTGTTCTTTTGTTCGGGGCGTATAATGGAAAATATCGGGAATTAATAGTTATGTAGCTTATCAGCCGAGTATTTTTCAATCCTCTACGCAGCTTTTAACGATGCATAAAAGATAGACGCGTGTATATCCCACAATGTTCTTTCTACATATATATAATGACCCACAACTATGTATATATATCACAATGATCCCACAATATTACATATATGTGCACAAAAATGACCCTCAATTATATCATGTAAACATTATATTTTTTCATGAACATTTATATACTTATCAGTTATTATGTATAAACAAACATTTGTATGTACATTGTTTTTTTGTTCGGGAGCGTATTATGGTAAATACCTTGAATAAATAGTTAGGAAGCTTATCAGCCGAGTATTTTTAAAGCTTCTATGCAGCTTTTAACGATGCATAAAAGATATTACTACTCACTGTTCGTTTGTTCGGGGCGTATAATGGAAAATATCGGGAATTAATAGTTATGTAGCTTATCAGCCGAATATTTTTCAATCCTCTACGCAGCTTTTAACGATGCATAAAAGATAGACGCGTGAATATCCCACAATGTTCTTTCTACATATATATAATGACCCACAACTATGTATATATATCACAATGATCCCACAATATTATATATATGTGCACAAAAATGACCCTCAATAATATCATGTAAACATTATATTTTTTCATGAACATTTATATACTTATCAGTTATTATGTATAAACAAACATTTGTATGTACATTGTTTTTTTGTTCGGGAGCGTATTATGGTAAATACCTTGAATAAATAGTTAGGAAGCTTATCAGCCGAGTATTTTTAAAGCTTCTATGCAGCTTTTAACGATGCATAAAAGATAGACGCGTTTACTAATTATATCCCACAATATTCTTTCTACAAATATATATAATGACCCACAACTATGTATATATATCACAATGATCCCACAATATTATATATGTGCACAAAAAGACCCTCAATTATATCATGTAAACATGTGTTTTCATGAACATTTATATACTTATCAGTTATTATGTATAAACAAACATTTGTAAAATATACATGTATGTACACTGTTCTTTTGTTCGGGAGCATATTATGGTAAGTACCTGGTTCATTGATAGTTAGGTAGCTTATCAGCCGAGTATTTTTAAAATTTCTTCGCATCTTTTAACGACGCATAAAAAGGTAAGGTGTATATATCCCAAAATATTTTTTCTACTTATATATAATAACCCACCAAGGTATATATACATATCATATTGATCCCATATATACTGCATTGATCTCATAATACATGTATAAATTTCAACATGCAAAGATGACACATTATTATACCATACATTTCTTTTATGTATATAAATAAAGTCAGTTTGCTGGATCCTCAATTAATATTGATTATATAGTCGATAAGTCAGTTTTCTGGATCCTCAATATATAGTCAATTTGATACGACAGAAGTTCGTTAATGAAAATGGAATTGTAATACATATTCC